ACCGAAGTGAATTTTGTATTCTTGGGCCGATTTTTAACTTATTTTTACGTGTATCATTATTTTCCCGCCATTTCGCTGTCGAATCAGTTTCTATCTTTCTGCCACGGGATTCGGTCCAAATTAGCAAAGCTTCATCGTCCAAGTCCATTATTTTAGCTAGGGTGCGACAAGAACAACTACCTTTGCGCCCGAAAATTTGCCGATGTCCTATTTTAAAAATCCGGGCACCATGTGGGGACCCTCTGAATGGCGACACAACACATCTGAAAATTTGATCACTATTCCACACGATTTTTTGATCGAAAAAGCCTTTTGGAAGATATATTTCATCTTGGCCTTGGGCTTGTCGTCTTATAAATGGTTTCCCTTTATCTATCGCCGATTCCTACTTTCGTTATTTACTGATATAATGGGGACTAAATATAATGGGGACCCCCGTAAAAAGGTCACAATTTTACCCAGATTTCTGACTCGAATGATCGAAACAAAAAACTACAAATTGTAGATAAATTCCTTAAAAATACGTTTTTTTAGAAAAGGCTCGATTGTTTAACTTTATCACATAAAATCAACCCGATAAATAAAGCAGTACAGTTACATTGCGCGACAAAACATTTTTTCTTTAAAATGTGGGGACCATATTAAAATTTGGTGATTACACCCAACAGGGCAATCCGGAGTGGCACAGACATTACATTGGCTAAAGAACAAAATGACTTATATAACTTACCTTTAGATAGTTACATTTTGCCGCGCTCCGCTAGTATACCCAAGAGGGTCCTAATGTAACTGGTCTCAACAAACTTTCTCTGCATATTGTACTAGAAGTTGTGCTAATTCGTCACCAAAACATGAATGAAAAAAAATCCAAGATAATCAGGCCTTGCCAAAACACTTAGGAGTAGAGATAACGCGCACGTCACGCAGAATCAGTTGATGTCGTTACCTTTGATTGAAATAACAGGACTCGAAAAACGAAATTATCTATTCAGTATATTTATTGTCAGGATTTATTGGCTCAATTCATTTAGACGAAAAAGTAGTCTATTCATTTTTCGTTCCGTTGACAAATTTCAATCACCTTTGGTCCCCTAAATTTCTCATTACTCCAGGACCGGAGCAATGTGGACTATGCAAACAAAGAAGTTTATACCCTTTGATTATTTTCTTATCTTAAACAGGCTCCGCCGCTGCTTTGGTCCCCTTAAATTGTATTTTTTTTACTAGATAGCACTTGAGTCAAAAAATTAACAGCTTTCTTTAATAAGTCTGGTAATGACTGACTTAATTGCCAAGCACTAAAAAAACAAAGTAACCGCTGTCACATTTTGATCACCATTTCACCAAACTAAATGGCTTCTTCAAACAGATATTTTACCAGAAAAACCCAACTTTTTTCCTCTCATAAATTTAGTTACCTCTATCTATCGCCCAACTGCTCTTGCTATATGTACAGACCACCACAAGGACTAAATATCAGTAATATATACAGCTATTTCGAGAAAGGTTCTCGGAAAAAGTGCACTCGACCATCTCGAAAGGTATAATTGTGGGTGGCTTTTAGTGCACTGTTCTTCAAAGAAATTTGAAAGAATGGCAGGAGAGGCCGTGGACGTATGTCTGCGAGTGCTAAAGGAAAGCAATAAAAGTAGGTTCTACAGCTACAGTGTCAGGAACAGTCTATTGATCATATCGCATATTACCTTTCGGGATTGTCGCCTGAACATTTTTCCGACAACCTTTCTCGAAATAGCTGTATATGATGATGATGAAGATGATAAACTTTATTTCAGTGTCAGGTCTTCTAGCTGGCCATGTAAGGCCTACTAATAGGGGACACTAAATTAAAATACTATCAGCTCTAACTAATTAATATAAAAAAAATATTTACAAAGAATAAAATTTACAAAAATATACATACTAAAAAAAATATCGATAAAACGTATTCGGATTTATCATATAAAACAATACTTATTGATTAAGAGGTGTCCTTTTTGTCTAGAAAATGTCATTTACGTACAACATAGAAAGCAATTTTTACAGCCCTCTGTGATTACTTTTTCAAGATCTACCTTACGAATTTTCTTTTTAAAGCTGTAAATTGATTCTGCGTTTTTTACATCCTTGCTTAATTTAGACCATATTACTGGACACACATATCTTAGGCTATGTCTCCCGTAAGTTGTTGTGTTGTATCGACGAATAAAAAAGTCACCAGAATTTCTGAGCCCATAGCGAGGTTTATCGAGCTTAAAAATGTCCTTTACGTATGGAGTGCATATATCGTACTTTGCCTTATACATAATTATGGCTATATCCTGCAATCGGCGACAGCCTAGTGTCGTGAGTTTAGCTTTTCTCGAGATCTCATCGTATGAACTTCTCGTATCGCAGTAGACGGCTCTTAACGCTCGCTCTTGTACTCGCTCCATCTTTCTGCTATCCGACGCCCGACAGAAATGCCACACTGTATGACAGTATGTAATTTGAGGCATTATGAAAGAAATGAAAATCTTAAGTTTGGCTGATGTTGTTAACATGTTTCTAAGCCTCCTCAAAACTCCAACCTTCCTAGATGCGTTTTTACATACCTCTCCAATATGCCTACTAAAATTCAAATGCTCGTCAATGGTCACTCCCAATAATTTCATTTCAGAGTGACTCTCAATATCATTGTTCATAACATTAATTTTCATCTGTTTATTTTTACACTTCGACCCAAGACTCATCGACTGAAATTTTTCACGATTACACATGAGTAGATTGTCCTTATACCAGTTTGCAATTTCCTTCCCCTCATGGTTCAAAATACTATCAACGTCTTCGATTCTTTCCCCTAAAGTATAAGCTTGATGATCATCTGCATACATCATTACACTGCACTTATCAGTTTGTATGTTATACATAAGGTCGTTTTGGAAAATATTCCACATTAAAGGACCAAAGTTAAACTCTTGAGGGCATCCCCTTTCGGTTTTCCGCCAATAACTCATGGTATCGGTTCCTATCCTAACTCTATTCCATCTCTCAGAGAAATATGACCTCATAAGACCAATTGCACAATCTTCAAAACCATTATGCCTTTAGTTTTGCCAATAATAGAGGTGGATGAAGCGAGCCAAAAGCTTTGGATAGATCTGTTGATAAGATCCCTACGACATTACTAGTATCCAATGCTTCTTTCCAGTCCTCCATGAGCTTGATCAAAGTCGTCTCGCAACTGTTCTGTTTTCGGTAAGCTGTTAGACAATTGCTCAAATAAGGCTCCATGAATTGCGTTCCTTGGTTGCTAAGTAAACTGTTCAAAAACTTTGTCAATGGCGGCAAGAATCGTAATAGGTCTATAGTTTTTAATATCACTGTGGTTATCCTTCTTTTGAAGAGGCACCCATATACCCCTTTTCCATTGCTTGAGCCAGTTGCTAGTCTGTATGCATACATTGAAGATGTTTGTTAGCGACGGCGCGAGGACGTTACATGCCATCTTTAGCTCTCTAGGTGGAATTTTGTCGTGACCGATACTTTTATTTGGATTTAAGGTTTCCAGGGCCTTAGTAACTTCTTTCAGGTTAAAGTTGCGAAATTTAAACTGCACGCCATTTGTTGTGGCCACTTTGCGTATGTTTTGTACGCTTTTATGATCTTTCAGTTCTTCTTCCGTCAGTGATAACATGTGTGGGTCACCAATATCATTGGCTACCGTGGTGAAATAGTCTACGAGACAGTTTGCAACTTTAGTTTGATCTTGTATATATATTGGGGACCCTGGACTGGGGTACCCAACGACGGTTTCCTCCTATAAATGCATTGGTAACACGTTTTAGGCTATCCTGAGTATTTTTAGATGTCTAGAAATGCTTTCTCAGCGGCGCTACAGAATTTGTTCGGTCATCCTAGGGTAATTTGAGTCTTTTCGAAATTACAAGGGCTTCAGTATTATTTTCCCGAAAATTTTAGATACAATTTGACTTATTACGAAAGTGAGACATTTTCTGATTTCTCTCCCCATTGCATTTTTGAGTCCGAAAATTTTAGGTTTCCTTTTTTCTACGAAAAATAGCCTAACTTGGGAAGTGAAATGTTAAAATAATTAAACTTCAGAAAATTGTAGGGGATTTATTAGATAAGCTTCGAAAATGGTACATGAGTGGAACGGTCATCTAGAATATATTAGCCGTCCTCAAGTAATAGAAAATTCTAGTCAACATTGCTGTTTCGATGCGTATGAATAGTCTTGGAATAATAATTGCCCCGAACTTAACATGGGAAAGACGCAAAATGATTACATTGCAACACAAATCTTTAAAGACTACAAGAATTCTGTGCAATATTCCAGGCCCTTCTCACTTCTAAAAATCTTGTATAATACTATCATTTACCTTTGTTTACATTGTGGTAAGTACTGTTTAGGCAAACAACTACTGCGTAAGAATTGACAACTTGCTAAAACTCCTTCATTAAGCCTTGAAGAAAGTGTTTCGACTAACAATTAAATACCCTCAAGGTATAATTGCTAGTCGTAACATTTTCGCCGTATAATGCACTCTTTTGAATGTCTGTGGCATATGTAGAAAGATTATCAAGAAAAACCAATCTTCTGCGGACTGCTCGGTTTGTCTAAAGTCGCTCCATCTTACATGCTTTGGGCCTGACTTAAATTTTAACAAATCCTGTTGTTTGTGCACTTGTCAGAATCATTCTGCTAATGAAAATGAGAACGGCCTGGACGACAATGGCCTATTTCTATCACAGAATTTAAGTGACATCTCAGCGATCAAGGGTTTTAAGATATTAGGGGTCTAACCGGTAGGGTTGATCAACTACGTCTAATCGTTTCCGAACTGCGCTCGCTTCTACAGTTTATGAGTTTTTCTGAAACCTGGGCACATAAAGATATCGCGGACTCTGAGCTTGAGATTCCTGGCTACAAACTTTTTCGCCGAGACAGAGGGAATAAAGGGGGCGGCCTTGCAGTGTACGTAAGAAATAATGTGAACGTTATGCGTAGCCCCGACCTTGAAGAATTGACTATCGAGGGTCTCTGGGTCGAAGTTTGCCCACCGAAATCGCGCAGCTTTCTAATTGGGACATTTTATAAGCCGCCAACGTCTTCAAATCATGCGGTCAAAGACTTCATGCCTATATTTGACAATTGTCTTAGGCGTGCTACGGCTGTGGATAAAGAGGCGATCATCACAGGTGATTTAAATTGTGATTTATTGCCAAAACGAGTCAGACTGTAAACAACTCAAGGCGCTACTGAGACAGGAAAACCTTACCTAACTCATAAATCAGCCCACTCGTATTACTCAATACTCCAAAACACTTTTGGATATTATTATCACGAACTCTCCCCATAACATTAGAGAGTGTGGGGTTTTAAGTTTGAGTCTGAGCGATGATGACATGGTTTTTTTGCGTAAGAAAGTTAAACTGGATGAAAGCTGCCCCAGAAACAAAGATTTTCAGGAATTATGCAAAATACGACCCTGAAAAGTTTTGTGAAGACCTTAGAGGTGTTAATTGGGTTGATAGTACGAATTCCTCCGGGACAGCAAATGAGAATGTTATTTGTGTTGACAAACTCTGGCTGAATTTTAAGTCCACATTCCTTAAGGTGGCTGATCGTCACTCCCCGCTTATCCAGAAGCGAGTACGTGGTGTAGATAATTGTCCATGGATGACTGGCCAAATAAATAAAGACATTCGTCAGCGTGACTACTTTTTAAAAAAGGCGAGAAAATCATCCCAAGACGAAGACTGGCTTGCGTATAAATCTATGCGAAATCGTGTGACGAACTCAGTAAAGAGGGCAAAACAAACATACAAGAAGAAGTTAATTGATAACCATAAAGATGACACCAAAGCCTTCTGGAGAACAATGAAAAAGATCATTCCCGGGAACAAGAGCTCTGGCGGTTCCAAAAATGTCAACATTGACGGTTTGCTTTGTAGTGAAGCCAGGGATAGAAAGAAAATTGCTAATGGTTTCAATAATTCTTTCGCTTCAGCCGCTGTACGCCTTAAGCGGGCTCTCGGTAGTGTTTCTTTTTTAAAAAAGAAGCGTTGATCAAAAAGTTAATGGATCAATACCAAATTTTAAATTTGAATTGGTAAATGACTCGCTGATTGTTAAGACACTTCTTCAAGGTCTCAGAGCAAGCAAGGCTAGTAGTGGTCTTGACAATATATCTCCGCGTATGTTGAAGGATGCTGCAGTGGTTGTTGCCAAGCCGCTGACTCGAATTGTAAATGAATCATTGTCGCAGGGAACATTGCCGAGTGAGTAGAAGTACGCAAAAATAACCCCACTGTATAAGAAAGGAATTTCTACCGATATTGATGATTACCGTCCAATTTCGGTTTTATCAGTTGTCTCCAAAGTGTTGGAGAGGGTTGTACATCATCCACTACATAGCTTTCTAAACGAACATAAGCTGCTCAGCCCTTTCCAGTGTGGCTTCAGAAGGAACCATTCAACTGAATTTGCCGCTATTGCCTTTTCAGATTACATCGGCGCGGCATGGACCTTGGTTTGCTCACTGGGGCGGTATTTATTGACTTGCGCGAGGCATTTGACTCTGTTGATCACGAAATACTTATTAGCAAACTAGAGTCATATGGACTTAAGGACATTGAGTTAGACTGGTTCCGAAACTACCTGACAGACCGAAAACAACTCGTGAGTTTTGGTAAAGAAATCTCTCATCCATGTCTTATTACATCGGGTGTCCCGCAAGGGTCAATTCTTGGCCCTTTACTCTTTGTCCTGTTTGTCAACGATCTGCCTATAGTTCTAGAACGATGCCAGATTCTGATGTACGCTGACGATACAGTTATGTGTTTCACCGCTAGTAATGCCCAAGAAATAAGTAGTACTCTTACCAGTGAACTTGCCAAGGTTAATGACTGGCTTGTAGACAACAGTCTTTTTATTCACCAAGGCAAAACAGAATGTGTTTTATTTGGTACTGGTTCTAGGTTAGCAACTGCTAATCTCTCTGTGAATATCGATGGCAAGGAGCTAACACGGGTTGCTGAGTATAAATACCTAGGAGTAATTTTGGATGAGTCGCTTTCATGGAACGCGCACGTGAATTATTTAATAAGCAAAGTTAGTAAGAGAATAGGAATTCTTGGCCGCACCAGGCGGAGCATTAGTATGCATACTGCTGGTATAATTTACAGGTCATCTATTCTTCCTGTTCTGGATTATTGTGATACCGTTTGGAACTGTTGTGGACACACGAATACTGATAATATAGAAAAATTACAGAGACGTGCGGCAAGGATTATCATGCAAACCAACAGCAGTGATGAAGCGCTAGCTCACCTTAAATATGATACACTGGGACTTAGACGGGAGATTCACGCATTAAACCTTGTGAAGAAATGTCTGAATAAGCGCTGCCCGCAATTTTTAATGGACTACTTTTATTTTAATAGAGATATCGTACACAGAAAAACGCGGCAAAGTAATCATCTCCGTCTTCCCTCCATCAAATTAGAATGTACGAAAAAAGCTTTTTATTATCATGGAGTCTGAAAAAGACTGGCTCAGGTCCGGATCACTTTCCTTTTTGATATGGAAAGATCATGCTGAAATTCTCACTCCAGTGGTAACCAAGATTTGGAAGCTGTCCCTCGAAACCTACACATACCAAGTTCATGGAAGAGTGCAAATAACAAACTTCTCCCGAAAGTTGAGACCCCAAGGAAATAATGACTTTAGAGGAATTGATATTACACGTGTTATTGCAAAAGCATTGGAAAAGGTTATGTACAATTCCCTCTCAGTTTGCTTACTGGGAAGGTAGAAGCTGCAGGGACGCGTCCTTATCAATGCAACATCAAATTCCTAAGGTTATGGACCACAAGGAATTCAGTGCGGTAAAGCTGTTTCCAATGGATTTTAATAAGTAAGGTTGACACCGTGGAAAACACTCTGTTGTTTTTTAACTTAAACTGTTACCACTCAATCCTTATATTTTAAATTGGTTTCTAAGCTTTTTTACTGATCGATAGGAGACAACGGGTCGTTTGCAATGGTTATTCTGTGAGATTGGATAAACGTTAACAAAGGTATCACACGTGGGACTGTTAGTGGGTTTATTTAATGTTTTCTGTCCTGTGTCCTAAGTCCTGTGTCCGAATTTTCCTTGTTCAAATTTGCCGATGATTCTTCCTGCTTTCTTACCCCAGGGACAAAGCAAACTGTCCGTAATAATGAGATGTTCGTATTAAGCGGGTATCCGCGGGTAGCCGGTGAAACTGCAAAAAAGCGTAAAGTCTCTTGGCCTTAAAGACAACGCCACGAACCAAATAAGAATGAAGATTTATTGAGTGCACATACAAACGGCGTGGATTGAAAATTGTTTCGGCCAGAGAAAACTGCTGAAGCGGACTGCGAATAATGCGAAGCTAGGGACTAGCAAGAAACTAAATCAGAACTGCGCTAAGCGCGAACCAAAAATGAACTGCCCCAAACTGTACTGCAAAATTACGATATATGAAAAATACGCTAGAACATGCGGAAAATAAAACTATAGAAACTTAGAAAGGCGCTAATGAAGATGAAACAGCAAAGAAACGCTAACGAGGGCGCGAAAACTGACAAAAAGAAATAAACACTTAAATTAACGCAAAAAAAAAGACTAAACAAAAGGACGAAAAGAAGTATAAACTAATTTGCGTACGCAAAGGAAAAACAAATTACACAAGAACGAATAATAGGAAAAATGTTACACTTGGATCTTACATACCGGCCCCATAAGTGAGGAGCACACGCGGGGCACTTAAATTAAACAATTAAAGATCTAAGTGTCTTTCTAAGAGTTCTTAATGTTCTCTTCTCCTGAATTCAGAAAATTGCACAGAAAATAACTCCAAAGGGAAAGTTTAAGCTTCTATCAGCAAGCAAAGTTTGTCAATTGGCCTCTCCAAAACTGCTCCTTTTACTTTCACCCCGGTACGGCGCACCAAACCTTTCTTGTCGGCGAAGACTTCTACCACTCTACCAAGGGGCCATGAATTGCGAGGGGAATTTTCCGCGCTCACTAGAACAATATCCCCAACGGCCAGGTTCCTGCGAATCGTCGTCCATTTCTGCCTACTTTGGAGCAGAGGCAAGTACTCCTTAGACCATCTCTTCCAAAAGATATCTGCGAGATATTGCACTTGTCTCCATCTGCGTCGAGAGAAGGAGTCTTCCTTATGGAATAACCCAGGGGGCATCTGAGGCTCCGAGCGTAAAAGAAGCAAATGGTTTGGTGTAAGGGGGCTCCGGATCATTGGGGTCACCTGAAACAGTGGTGATTGGACGACCATTAATAATGCTTTCCACTTCGCAAAGGAGGGTGACTAAACCTTCGTCGTCAACAGCTTGAGTTTGAAGCAAAGCTCGAAGGACCTTGCGCGTTGTTCGAATGCAGCGCTCCCAAACACCTCCATAATGGGAGCCATAGGGGGGATTGAAGTTCCACTTGATACCCTTCTGAAGTAGAGCTTCGTGAATCTTGTTGAGATTCCATGCGTTGATGGATTCCCTGAGCTCCCTCTCTCCGCCGGTGAAATTGGTGCCATTATCGGATCTGATCTCCTTTACCTGGCCCCTCCTTGCTATAAACCTTCTGAGCGCCATCAGGAAAGAATCAGTTTCCAAACTGTGCGCCACTTCAATGTGTACTGCGCAGATAGAAAGACACGTGAAAATGACCCCATATCTTTTCACAAGACTTCGCCCACGGCGTACCTGAAGAGGACCAAAACAATCAATGCCGACAGATGTAAAAGGTGGCTGACCTGGGGTAACACGATCCACGGGAAGGTCAGCCATTTTCTGCTCACAGAACGGGCCTTGACGCCGCCGGCAACTAAAACATTTCGAAAGAACTTTCCTGACAACAGAACTTGCGTTTACGATCCAAAACTTCTCGCGCGCAAGACTGATAACGTACTCTCTTCCAGAGTGACCGGAGATCTGGTGGTAGTATTCCACTACAAGGTTGGTCACGTGATCCTTCTTGGGCAAAATAATCTGATGTTTGGCCTCAAATGCAGTGGACGCTAAACTTAACCTCCCACCGACACGTAAGACGCCGTTCACTAAGATTGGATCCAGACTTCGAAGGCTGCTTCTTTTCTTGACTTGCGTACCGTTTTCAGACTTGCTTAACAGCTGAAGCTCATCCGGAAAATTAAACTGCTGGACGTTCCTGAGGATTTCTAGCTCCGCGATTTCCAACTCCGTAACGGTAATTGGTG